CCCTTGAAATTTTAATAGGAATTGTTCTGTTATCTTCTAATATTGAATATTGTTTTGGAAAAGTCTGTAACAACCATTATTTTTCTCCACCTTTATAAATGACTTAATCTTTTTTCTAGGTTGCTGAAAGGATTCTTTCTTCACCAGTGAGGTCCAGATAGTGGGTGCTGATTGCCTCATCTTTCACCTAGGTTCCTGAAAGATGGGATTTGCATTTATTTTCTTTTCCTCCTTTGGGAAGGGAAAAGCCCACTTTGTTCTGTCATCTCCAAACCTGCTCATGAACACAGCTATCTAATTGACTCCCTTAATTAAAATGCAGAGAAAGAGAACACAGACTAATAATTGGAAACTGATTCCTAGGGATTTATTTCCTTCTCTCCTTTCCTTCTGCCTTATTAGGTCATCTTGACCAGTAACCTCAGTCATGTATTGCCCAATGTAGACAAGAGAGGTGCAAATATAAGAAAGGACTGGCAATTGAAAGATAATTCCAGAGGAGGGTGTATCTTCTGGAACCTGCAGAATCCAGCATCCTGCTAGGCCAGCAGAGTTTGAGAAGGATGGGACACGGTCTGGGAGGGGAGGTAGTTGGGGTACTGGGGTGGTATGGGGGCTTGGGGGATGGCTGGACACAATGAAGGGGGAGAATGGTTTCTTAGTACTTACCTGCAGAACAACGCGCTCCTGCTTTGGGTTAGAAATAGGTGGGTGGGGAGTTTTCTGATTCCCATATATTTGAGGTAATTTATTTACTCAAGGGGAATTTATTGTTTTCCTGTACTTAGTTGCTCAGGCAATGTTGGAAATATAAAGGCTGATAAGACAAGGTCCCTGCCATCATGGGTCACAAACCAATAGCAAACAGAAGTGTCTATGGAACTAACTCTAATATGATCCAGAGCTGGGGTAAGCAAGAGCATCCTTGGCAGTGAGGGACAGAACCATGAGAACTCCTCCTGCCCATACTTATTTCCTATAAAAATGAAGAAAATTATCCTTTAAAGAGTTCATGTTCCAAATGACAGTGCCCTCACAGAATGTCTGTGGTCATGTGTCATGAACTGTTCCTCGGAAAGGGAGATCCGTAAAGAAGGAACTGACCATATTAAGTGGATTTGCTCCACTGGTCCTCACAGCTGAGCAAGTGGCTTAACACACAACAGCAAGGCAGTTGCAAAGGGAAGCGGATGTTCATGCTTTAGACACATCAAAAAGCAAGGAAATGGCCGAGCTGACCGTCTGTTCCCTATACCAGATCTTGCCAAGCCCAGAGTCAGGTAAGAAAACCATGAGGAACTCAGTCTGGCAAGATGGCCAAAATAAAATTTAAAGTTATGGAAAGGTGAATTTGAAATATTGATCAGTAACTGATATCATGAATAATGCACCTTATACTATGTATATTGTACCTTAAGATGCTGGCTTAAAATAAATGAATATGAATAAATATGCGTATGTTGGGAATGTATGCTCAGCTTCTTTTTTTAACTGGTAGAAGTGTACAAATGAAATGAAAGAGGTGTGCATTTGGTGACCACTGCTTTAATGTAATAAACATAAAACCTGTGCTACCCACCTGAAGAAACCTCTGGGAAAGCGGAACATGGGTAGTTCATTGCTCCTGGCATCCGGGGAGATGAATCACAGACAGCTGAGCTGCATCATGAAGAATGAATGAAATGAGCAGTAGAGGCTCATTCCAGTGTGAGTGGAGACTTGGGGGCTCAGAGAACATGCCCTAAAAAGGAGATGAGTGGGCAGGTCCAAGTCTCCTGGAATGTACTACCTCTAAGCAGAAGGGCGGCAAGCAACCTAGAAAGGTAGATTGTGCCCAGATGAAGGGCCTGAATTCTGTGCTAAGAATTTGGACTCTATCTATAAGGAATAGAGAGTCAGTGGAAATGTATGAGCAAGGAAGTGCCATGAGCCAGTTAATAGTTCAGAGGTCTCTGCCATTACCTTCGGTAGTAAATTGGCCAGACGAAGGATTAATAAATGATGATAATGATATTGGTTTTAAAAATACATCTATCATCTATCTCTCTGTCTATTGTTGAGAAACTTGAAAACTCATACTTGATATTTAGGAGATACTGAGGAACTAATCCTTTTTTCATTTTCATTTTTGATCACAGTAAAGTACACATAAAAATTTGCCATATTAACCATTTTTCAGTGTACACTTCAGTGGTGTTCATATATTCACACTATTGTCTATCACCACTATCCAACCTCAGAACTTTTTCATCTTCCCAGACTGAAACCCTGTGCCCATGAAACACTAACTCCCGTTCCCTCCCCCAGACCCTGGCAACCCCATTCTTTCTGTCTATGGATTTGACTACTCTAAGTGCATCATATAAGTGGAATCATAGAATTTGTCCTTTGGAACTGACTTATTTCCTTCAGCATGATATTCTCAAGATTCATCCATGTTGTAGCATGTGTTAGAATTTCCTTTCTTTTTAAGGCTGGGTAGTGTTCCCTTGTATGTATATGCAACATTTTATCCATTTATATGTCAGTGGATACTTAGGTTGCTTCCACATTTTGGCTATTGGGAATTATGCTGCTATGAACACGCATGTACAACTATCTCTTTGAGAGCCTGCTTTCAATTCCTTTAGGTGTATATGAGAAATGAAACTTTTTGACAAGTTTCCCTTTTAGGGGTTATTTTGAGAGAGGTAGTGAATTCTCCCAGAGGTTCTCTTAATGGATTATTTTCTTGAAAATGTACCATAAATATGTGGCCTCTCAAAAGTAGACTGGGCATATAGAGCCAAGAGTTCCTGTTCAGAACCTGACCTGTTTCTGCAGTGAAGACATAGTAAATGCAGACCTGGCATCTAAATTAAAGAGGCAAGGGTTGTTACTATATGTATCTCTGTGTATCTATCTATCTGAACATATATGCTTTAATTTTATTTAAATGGCAAGCAAAGTTATAGGGGCAGATTTAGAAGAGAAATGGCATGCTGCCTAGACCTTTCTGAGCAACAGTTTCTGGTGGCACTTCCTGGCGTGGAGTGGCAACCCTACAATCACATTAACACTATATCAATCTGTTGCTGAAGCTAAAGCTGGCTCCCCATCATATTGTCCTGTGTGCTCTGATTTCATAAAGGATTCATTTACGAGTTGGTTGATATCATGGACTGCATCTTGCAAGGGGCACCCTGTCAGTCTTGGTATTTTATTATGTTCCCATTTAAGAGTGCTTTCTACTCTTCTTTCTGTTTTCTGCACAATCTGGTTCTGTGTCACGAAATGCCATTTACCTAGGATTCACAGAGCCAGCATTCTCTGACTTGCCCTCCCCCAGCCTAAGTATCTTACAGATCATTGACAGAGTGGAGGATGGCGAGACTGCTTATAAAAGGGAAATGGTGCCTGGAAAGTCGGGTTTCTACTTCCTCTGCCGATTTATAACAAAGAAGGCAAATCTCTTCCGTGAAAGCACAGCACTCCCAGGCTGGACTGAGGCTATTTTAACCCAAATTCGAAAGCCGGCAATGGGAAAACAGCCATCCTTCCTGAGAAACAACAGTAGATAGTCCCTCACTGCCCAGCATTCATGAACTCGGAATTTTCTCTACTCTGGGCTAGCTAGCCACCACGGAGCCCTACTACCGAAGAAGGACAAGGGCTCCGAGGCTCCCACCAAGTCAGCCCTTTGATTAAGAGCTCCGAGGCATCTCTGCTAGGAGCTGCTGGCTCCTCATCCAGCGAGGGAAGGCAGGGGAGGAAAGGGGGAGGCCAGTGGGATATAAACCGGCGCAGTGACAAAGCTGAGAACGCAGGAGTCCCAGGACCCCCTGCACCACTTCTTCCCCGCGGTCACTATGTGGGACTTCGACCCCTTCCTAGCCCCAATCCTCTGGGCATATAACTCCTTTACATATATATTAGGACTGGTAGCGTCCCAATATTTCTAGCTGGAGAGCATTGAGAAAAGTAAAAAGAGAAATAATGATGGATTTGCAGGCTCTTTCAATTCCTCTTCATTCATTGGCTAAGTGTCGGTTGCCTAGGAAACCGCGTGCACTGGGGCCGCAGAGCTGCTAGGCTAAGGGGCTATGAGCTGTGTGTTAAGTAGTGAATGCAGGCACGCAATGCGGAAATCCAAAAGCTACTGTCTTGTAACTTCAATAAGTATGTAAAAAAACATACCCTGCTTTAAGAAAATAAAGTTAAAAAAATTTTTTTTGTCAAATCAACTGTGTAATGGCCCCTTACCAGATTTCTTCAATTTAAAGTGACCCTATCTGTAATTCTCAAGGGCAAAATCACTTGAGATTTTGTGTTGAAATTACTCTAAAAATTGTGAAAGCAAATACAACTTTAATGGTTCAGGGGATATCTTACTCATCTCGGCCACCCAATCAGTTATTCATAAAACAAACATTCTGTTTTATTTTACGCTGCGCTATTTCTACAGCTGTCTCAGGAAGGGAAAATTAAGAAATGTTAGTACATCATTTCAACGAATAGGATGTAAGTGATAATGAAACATATTGTCCTGACACCTTCATGCCTGAAACACAATGACTTGGAATTGTGGAGGCCCCAACTGAGAATTTTTTTTTGCTTTGAAAGCCCTTTAACAACCCCTTCTAGGGAGCTACACAAAATAAGGACATAAGGATTGGCAGATAAACTAAAAAAAAATTCAGGGAAAGACTAGGTTGTCATCAACATTCAGCCTTCCGACACAAAATCAGATCCTTGTGAAAATAAAAATGTGCAACATCATATATCCTAATTGGGGAGGAGGGACAGAACGGTTAACAGGAATGTCCGCTCAGAAGAGGCAGGGGGTGAGGGCCAGTACAGGCAAAATATTTGAAAGGAAAGCAGATCTTGAACCCAAAGTGCTAGTCTCCACGGGCATCACTGCTTTCAGAAGGATGGGTTCCAGCCTACCCTTTCCCAAACCCGTTCCCCTAAAGGAAACCCAAGAGGAAAGGGTCCTTTTATCCACATCATTCTGCACATCACCGGAGCACTCCGCAGAGATCTGGCTCTGAAACAGAATTTGAGAAAAAATAAACCGTTAGGTGAGGGAGGCTGGCGTTTGGCTCAGATTATCCGGCACCGTCCTAATGCTTGGAGCGCCGGCCGCGGGCGCTAACCCCTGGGCGCCCATCTGCGTTACCAGCGCGGGTGCTCGCTCGCTCGGAGCACGCCGACAGGGCGGTCCTGCCAGAGCCGCCATCCCAGGCCTGGGTGCTAACACCAGCCGCAGACCTTTTGACCCGACGTGGTCACCTTCCCCAGGGCTGGGGCGTCCGGGGAGAAGGGATTCCAGCCTGAGCCCGTATTTTCACTTGCTGTGTGACCTTGGGAGTCGTTCGCCTCGAAGTTTCTGCATCTGCAGGAGCTGGATTAAAAATCCAGGGTCAAGCCCCGGGTCCTTGGAGCCCCGTAAGTGGGCGCTGTGGGCGGACCCTCCGCCCCTCTGCCTCTCGCCGGACCCCTTCCTAATCCAGTTGGGGAAGCCGCTTCTGGGGAACTCGGCGCCGAGCGCCTCCGTCTGGGCGCAAAGGGTGCTGGAGGCGGCTTGCCTTTTGTTCTCTGGGTTTCTCTTTGTGCACCGGAACTGAGTTGAAAGCCCCGTTCCACCCCTTTGGCAGGAAAGGGAGGCGTTGACAGCTTGCCATAGCCCTGGGAGGGTCTCACTCAGCAGCTGCAACCTATGCTCCGCCGCGAGGACCGGGTCTTTCGGTCCCTCAAGCCGGAGGATCAAAGGGGTCAGTTACCTCGCAGACTACCTTTCCCGGGTCGGGAAGGGGGTGGAGGAGGAGCGACTCGGTTCCAGGTCAAGGGTGAACGTTGCAGACTCCCTTTACGCTCTCTCACTCAAGGGCTCGCAGGTTCCCACACACACACGAAAATTAACAAAGAGGTTCCGACTACCTAGAAACTGGATTTGAAGGAGTATCGGTGCTCTGAGTCTGCGCACGCGCTCTGTGCGCGAGTCAGGGTCCCGGGTGACCTCCCCCTCGCGGTGCCACAGTGTTTAGGAGTGTCCCTCACCCCCATCCGCAGTACGAAGATGGGGTACCTCTTGGCCGCCGCGGGTATGACGCCTGATGAAAGATAAGAATGTTAGCGGTGGGGCGGCGATGGACCAGCCTCAGAACCCATCCCCGTACGGGACAATAGATGAACGGAACCCAGGGAGGGTGAGCGCCTGGGGTGTGATTTTTAAATACTCAGTTGTGGTAAGTATCACACGCATTTGTGAGCCCTTTGTTCTGCCGCAGCCCCGCCCCCACCCGCGTTCTGACCGCTGGAAAGTCCACTCTGCGCGGCGAACCACACCCACCGCATCCACTCCCAAGGAGCAAAAGCCATCCCGCAGTGCGGAGGCGTCCTTGGTACGCGCCCGGAGCTGTGGACTCTAGGAGAAGATCCGGCAGGGCTAGAAACGGAGCGGAGGTCGCCCCGTCTCTGGTTGCCGCAGCCGCAATGAGACGAAACAAGAGGCCCTTGATAAAGACAAAAGATACTGAAGGCGGGGCAGAGGGCACCCACCCTGGGGCGCTGGGGCCTTAGGAGTCCAGGATCACGGCTCTTCAGACCCCAACATCTTGATCATATATGACTCTGTGCGACTGGGCAAGAGGCAGTATTCTTGGCAAGGGCGGGTGTTTTAGGGATCAATGGCCTCAATCCGGGCTGGCAGCGCAATCCGAGCCACCTCAACCCTACCACCTGCTAACGCCCGGAGCACAGCACGCTCCTTCTGGCTCACCTGACGGCCTCTCCACCTGCTACAGGCCCCATCCAGTGCCAGCTCTGCCCGCACCCCCAGCCTGCCACACTGGTCGCCCTCGCCTCGCCACCTTCTCGCCCTCGGTTCCTTCACCCACCACCAATTCTCAGTACTCAGCTTTTTCCGTACCCTCCCCCACAAGTCCTAGACAATGCGTATGCCGCCACCCCACTCCCGGGAGCCCCCACTCTTCGCCCGGTCCGCAAGCCTGTGCTGATTGGCCACGGGCCCGTGGTCCAGCCCCCAGGACGGTTCCTGGGGCTCGGAGCATTACGTCAATGAGGCCTGGAGAGCGCTAGCTCGAAGGCGACTGGGGGGCTCTGGCTGGGGGCGCGGCCTGCGCCGGCCGCCCCACCCTCCTCGCATAAAAGGCCGAGCCCACTGGCCCCGAGCTCTCAGCTGGTCAGTTCTCGAGCGCGTTGCTGGTAACCCCCCAGTGGGCTTATAAGGGAGGACGGACAGACTGCCCAGACGCCTGCCGGAACCAGAAGCCAGCTAGCACCATGCGCGAGATCGTGCACATCCAGGCGGGCCAGTGCGGCAACCAGATCGGGGCTAAGGTGGGCGCGGCCTGCGGGGAGGGGGCCGGGGCAGTGCCAGGGGTCCCGGCCTAACGCCCCTCGGGGTTCCAGGGCGAGGGCGCGGTCCTGAGCATGCCGCGGGCTATACCAGCGCAGACCTTCCCAGCTCTTTGTGCAGCGGAGCGGGGCGTGGGCTCGCAGGCTGCTTTAGAGGCGGAGTGGGGAGGAAATGCTCCTCCTTTTTTGCGGTAACTCATTAGGAATCCTGGTCTCTCCTCGCTCTCCCCTTCCTTCCAGCTCTTCGCGGAGCCAGGTACGCGTGCCTGGCGTAGGCACGGGTGTGTCCGCGAGGCTCTGCGCGCGGGTTTGCGGGAGGGGCCGGGACACGGGGAAAATTGATTTTACTCGCCTGAACCCGAGTCAGGCTGCGGCGGGGAGGGGAGAAGAGCGATTGTCTTGAAGTCTCCAGACGTGCTTTGAATCCAAAACCACTCTCCTTCGGCTCGTTGCGCGCCAGTCTCCGGCCGCCGCCCGCAGCCGTGACCCTGAACTCCAAGCTTCGCCGCCGCTGAAGCCCGTGTCGCGTTACTGGTCCCCCCTCCCCACCCCCCACCGTCTCCTCCCAAGACCCCCGCCTCCTGTCGCTGGCAGCTGTTCGCCCAGGAAACGCCCAATTTCAACTTTCTGATCCTGCAAAATACAAGCCCTGCGGCTGTACAGTGTCACGCTGCCTAAGGCTCCTCAAAGGTTGGGTAGTTGAAACTGAGTCCGGGCTTTTCATTGTGCAATTCGGCCTCTCTTGGGGGAGTCAGGCATGACCAAATGCAAACTTTTTTTCTGTGCCTCAGTTTTGGGAGGTCATCAGTGATGAGCACGGGATCGACCCCACTGGCAGTTACCATGGAGACAGTGATTTGCAGCTGGAGAGAATCAACGTGTACTACAATGAAGCCACGGGTAATATCCTTGAAATCCACCCCGCCCCCCTCAGTTTTTGCTGCCCTCTTTTCCCAACTGACTGAAGCAGTGTGGTCCCAGGGAAGGGTGGACCAGAGGATTTAGGATCCCCTCTCACTGCGGTATCTCAGTGCTCTCTGCACCTGAATCATTTGAGAATCTGGTTGGTCCTGTGGCCTCCTTTGTTTGGGGACAACAGCAGTGTCTGCAAAAAGAAAGTTATTACCAAGCCGTTTTCTTCAGAGCTCTCTGCTTGTATGTCTAAGTGCAGCTCTGTCCCCGCAGGTAACAAATACGTACCTCGGGCCATCCTAGTGGACCTGGAGCCGGGCACGATGGACTCGGTCAGGTCTGGGCCGTTCGGCCAGATCTTCAGGCCAGACAACTTCGTTTTTGGTGAGTGACTGGCATGGCGTATGGCATGGGAGGCTCATTTTACATGGACAGCTCAGGGTGGAGGGTGTGACTACATAAGGGAAAGGATAAAGAACATCTAGCTATGTGCTATTTACTCTTGTATAAGTAAAATAAATCTCCTTTTCAGCCTCTAGCAGCCAGATATTACTAGCCTTCCTTATTTATAATTATATCCCTGACCAAATATTTTGACGTCAACGTTTTGGTGATAACCTGAAATAATCTCATCTGAACACTGACTCATTGATCCATATTAGGGAGTTCAAGGTTAATAGGAATTTGATCCAATCATCAATGACTTAGGAAGTCTCCTTCCCTTTGGCAGGCCAGAGCGGAGCAGGAAACAACTGGGCAAAGGGCCACTACACCGAGGGGGCCGAGCTAGTAGACTCGGTCCTGGACGTGGTGAGGAAGGAGTCTGAAAGCTGTGACTGTCTGCAGGGCTTCCAGCTGACCCACTCGCTGGGGGGCGGCACGGGGTCCGGGATGGGCACGCTGCTCATCAGCAAGATCCGGGAGGAGTACCCGGACCGCATCATGAACACCTTCAGCGTCATGCCCTCCCCCAAGGTGTCCGACACAGTGGTCGAGCCTTACAACGCCACCCTCTCCGTCCACCAGCTAGTGGAAAATACAGATGAAACCTACTCCATCGACAATGAGGCCCTGTACGACATCTGCTTCCGCACCCTGAAACTGACCACCCCCACGTACGGAGACCTGAACCACCTGGTGTCCGCCACCATGAGTGGGGTGACCACCTGCCTGCGCTTCCCGGGCCAGCTGAACGCAGACCTGCGCAAGCTGGCCGTGAACATGGTGCCCTTCCCGCGCCTGCACTTCTTCATGCCCGGCTTCGCCCCGCTCACCAGCCGGGGCAGCCAGCAGTACCGCGCCCTGACGGTGCCCGAGCTCACCCAGCAGATGTTCGACTCCAAGAACATGATGGCCGCCTGCGACCCCCGCCACGGCCGCTACCTGACGGTGGCCGCTATCTTCCGGGGCCGCATGTCCATGAAGGAGGTGGACGAGCAGATGCTCAACGTGCAGAACAAGAACAGCAGCTACTTCGTGGAGTGGATCCCCAACAATGTGAAGACGGCCGTGTGCGACATCCCGCCGCGCGGCCTGAAGATGTCGGCCACGTTCATTGGCAACAGCACGGCCATCCAGGAACTGTTCAAGCGCATCTCGGAGCAGTTCACGGCCATGTTCCGGCGCAAGGCCTTCCTGCACTGGTACACGGGCGAGGGCATGGACGAGATGGAGTTCACCGAGGCTGAGAGCAACATGAACGACCTGGTGTCCGAGTACCAGCAGTACCAGGACGCCACGGCCGACGAACAGGGGGAGTTCGAGGAAGAGGAGGGTGAGGATGAGGCCTGAATCCCAGCCGAAGCCGGTTAGGGAGGGTTGAGGAGCGAGCGCGGGGTGGGGGGCCTACTGGTGAAGCATTCTGGCACTTGAAGGAGAGAAGCATGGTCACTCTAGGTGTGCGCACTGGTTCTCTGGTGCTCTTCACTGTTGCCTGTCTTTTTTGTGTGTGTCTGTAATATGACATCAATATTTGTGCAACATTTGAGATATTTCTGAACTACTGTTGTAATGGCTAAAACCACATAAACGTTCGTGTTCTAATGGTGTCCTCTTTACTGTCTCCTTTTTTATTGAGTTCTTCATTTTCAGTTTAAATGTGACTTTCAGAGCACATTACAGTAAATTCTTCCTTCAGAAAAGGGAGGGGATATATAAAAGTTCAAATGAAGTTACCCCTTCAGTCTGGTAAACTGAACCAACCACAGTCATATCCAGTTGAAGATGGGAGGTCAATCTGAATTTCAAAATGCCTCCAAGTAAATATTTTATTGGCTGAAAGGATGCCTACCTGAAAGCTCACTAAATGTATTTTCACGTGGATATCCTACTACAGCTTTATTTCCTCTGCCAAAGTACTATTTGAATAGTTACTACATGCATGCAGCATGAAATTCTGAAGGGTAGCAAGTGGAATGTGGGTCTCCCACCATATCCCTTGGTACAGGTTTCCTCCCTGGAGGGCAATCATTCTGAGCATTGTTATCTTTCTTGCACCCTTACAGAGATATTCCATGTATCTTCAAACCTATGTAGATTATTCCCCTTTTTTCTTCATACACATTGTTCTGCTGCATTTTTTCACGAAACATAGCACCTTTAAAATACAAAGAACTCCTCTCCTTTAAATGGATACATAGTATCCATTGTGTGTACCACATTTTGTTTAATTACCAATGGACATAGAGGCTATTTATACTCTCTCACAGTAGCATGCCGCAATGAATGCTTTGGTGCATATATCATTGTGTTATAAGAATAGCTAGCCTATAGGTTTCTGGGGAAATTTTCTATCAAATGGTGCCAATGCTCTTCCTTAGTCTGGGCCTGTTGGCTTCTCATTTTGGGGAGAGAAGTGGAGTGTAAGTTATAAACAAATATAAAAACTTATTTACATGCCCTTAGAGGAAGAAAAATCAAGAAAACTGTAGGGTTATCATTTTTCTAGTTTTTACAAATGCAAACCTAGAAAAAAATATTACCTTAAATCTGAGCCTGTATTTATTTCATTCTGCTTGATTCTATTTGTGATTTTAAAAAGGAGAATGAGGAAGACAAAAAGGGGGAGGAGAAAGAGAAGGGGTGGGTAAGGGATTTCTATATTAAAGAGGATATATTTGTATATGAAAACAGTTCCAAAGAAAAGTGTGAATGTCATTTTAAACAGTGAGAAAAGTTCATTCTATCAAATGTCCTGTATAAGTGGAAAAGAGCAGCAGTTCACTTTACAAGTCTTATAATAGCATAAAATCTAGACCTAGTGATGAGCAAGGTCAAAGGGGTCAGGAACCAGTGGCCTCCACTTCAGTTTTCTGTATTTAACAGTGAACTGGCAGGTGCCATTCCTGCTGAGCTGGTGTAAAACTTCCAACAGCCTAATTGAAGGGTAACATAGATTTTAAATTCCATGAACTCTTGCATCAGCTTCCAGGCCATGAATTCCCCACAACCTGTCAGATAAATGATCAGCAACTTCGGAGAAGAGAGGAAGGAATTGCTGCCAGGTGCCTCTTGGCATACTGTAAGTATCATGCTTCTCTTTTGCACCTTGTGAGAAGAGGACAGGCAGGCACCCAGCAGGTCAGCCAGCTAGTCTGTCAGCCTCCCCACGTCCACACAGTGCAAAAGCTTGATTAGAACGGTGGGTGCCAGACCAGTCAAGCAGGTGCTCTGGAGCAAAGCTTTAAAAGCACAGTTTATAACATCAAAAACTGAAATGCATTCTTAGGAAAGCAGTTCAAAAGCAGGAAAATGCACAGACTAATACCTGGACTAAGATAAT